ACAGATGTGTATCTAGGAAAAGAATTTACTCCAGCGATATTTGTTCAATGTATCTTTAATACATATCAAGATTATGCGTTTTTTCGTTTTACATTAAGAATATGAGTTTCTTTGAATGTGAATGTGAATGTAAATGGGGAACTCGACATATATACCGTTCGTTTGTCTATAATACCTCGGTATTTACTGATCTAACACGAGAAAAATGGAGTTGAAAACTCATACACTTGCGGTGCACATTGCTCTCAACTCTGTACAGAATAATGACAAATAAAACCTACTTTTTTCTCGCTTCAATTCTCTCACGTTTTCTTATATTCCTACACTTTTATATATTTATATATGTTATACGTGTAAGTAAGTACTTGGAAAGTTTCAAGAATCCGAATTTCACAGTTGGAGAATTTTACCAAAAGTAAATGCTCTTGAAAAGTGTTTTCGAAGAATTAACCCAATAGAAAAATGACATTATTTGAGTATCAGCAAATATAACTTTCGCTAAAAAATTTAAAGTTGTTTTATATGGTTGATTGATTAAATTAAATAACTAAATAAAGTAAAGTATAATAAAGTAGAGCTTAACGATCAGAGTGGAACAATATTTTTAGTATTATTTGTCTTCGTAAAATAATGTTTCGATGAATATATTTTTTGAGTATGTCGAGAAATGAAAATCAATTTCTCTATTGAAGCGTAATTGAGTTAAACAAACTTTCTGTCGAAACAATAAATCCGAATGTTTATTTTTCATTATTTTAATTTAAGTAAATAAAATAATGTTCAGTAATAACAAAATTTGCAACCGTCGATATAACAAATATTTACTTTAAATTAATATCCATTAGCAGAAAAATGTTTATTAAAATTTGAGCAAAAAAATTTTCTTTGTATAGAACAAATATCATATTGTAAATAAATAATTTATGGAGGAATAATTATAAAAAAATTTTTTTACGAGACCGTTGAAAATTTTTCAGTGATAAAGTTTATTGTTATTATTATTTTTTATATATTGTATTTAAGGCGGTATGATGTTTATACTCTAGCCTTTCACGAGGCATTACAAAAACGATTCGCCGGTAGGGTAAATTCAGCCGCAACGGCATCTCAACAAAGTTCTCTTGTGCTTTAAAGAGAAAACAGTCCTTATACGTCTTATACGAAGTTCTAACAGCCTCTAAAAGACGTTTTACTCTGTAATTTGAATACTTGAGATCTGTATACTATATAGTATACATATATATATATATATATATATATATATATATATATATATATATATATATATGGATAACTATGGTATAACTTTTGCTGTGAGTATCGTGGGTACCGCAGCCACACGTTTATAAAATCACACGAATTTATTCTAAGTTGTACGAGCAAAGCGGACTAATAGTTAAGCTTTAAACTCCGAAAACTGCCTCTAGTTAATACAAATACTCAAGCTAAAATAAATAATTATTAAGTAGTTACGGTAAGACTACGATTATACATTTGTTATTTTCACGAATTGCTTAAAAACTTCCGATTTACTTCATTTGCGGAGTTTTATTCCATCACGGTACTCGGACTGATGAACGTAAAAACTCATTCCTAATTTTTTACAATACACAATTTCATAAAATAAATTATTAAAAAAATATATAAATTAATTTCGACGGAATAATGATTATTACAATCAACCAAATTTAGGAGTCATCATCCTTATCATTATTATTATTATTATTAATTAAATATAAATTATTAAATTCGAAGGCTGAATTTTACTGCTGTGAATTTTCACATAAATTCGTGCTATTTATATTTATATTATGTATGTTGTTCTAGATTCCAGAATTTGTATATTGAAATTTAATGAACACATTCACACACAAATTTCTCTAGCCTCATGAATTTTAATTTATACCTTCATATTTTAATTTCCATTATTATTATCATTTAGTTATATTATTTTCGATGCTTCTCTAAGCTCGGAATTATAATATAATGCGACACCGTTAAATACAAATAAATACGAAGCGTTAATAAATATTTATTTAATAATTTCATAACAAAACCCAAAGATTATTACGGTGATTGGAGATTTTTCACCCGATGTACTGAAAAATAAATCAAAAGTAACTGGGATTGTTCGATAGACTAACCATATTTATTGAAAGAGCGACAATCTATTGCAGAACCAATACTCAACGAATTCAATACGAGGTCTTGAGTTTCTATATCTCATGTCTGCAAGGTTGCCGCCGACTGCGAACAGAAAGTCCCTACCCTAGCTTACCCCCTAACTCCTAGCTCCTGCTCATACCCATACCAGCGAATCAGTATGTGTAACCACGAAAGAGTCTCCAGACACTCTTTCACTCTATCTCCACGGTATAGTCTGTAGACTCAAAACTTCTGGCCCCCTTTTCAATCCCACAAAATTGATGTCTACACATCTCCAGACGATATTGTATCGCCAGTTCTTCAGTTCCATTTCTGTTCCAGCGTTCTCTACGGTGATACTTGAACTTCTTTTCAAACACCAATAATACGTTTTTATTATTTATCTGACACATTTTTTTACTTTTCTCGTAGATCAAAGCCAAAGGTTAATATCAACTAAGTATCAAGTACACAGTGGAAAAATTTTCGTTAAATCTAACGCTTAACGATAGTTTTTATACTTTACACGATGACTAAAAATTTTTTACTGTATATGTTTTCTACGATGTACCATTCAATCACTATACAATGATCCATTTAAATTCTCTTAACTTAATGAGCAATAATTGACGTACTTGACATTCAGCAAATAAATAGTCTCTCTTCAAAGGGTAATGTATTGATCGCTTTAAATCACTCTTAGTCCGCTGATTATCTTAATGCTTCTGAAGGCATTGCTTTAACACGATTACTGTTTAATTATGCGTTGCCAAAGCGCCAAGAAGTAATTACCGTGTAGTAATTTTGTAACTAAATTATTTAACTCTCAATAAAAAAGTTAACTAATCGATAAAGTTTTAGTTTGATTTCGCTAAAAATTGAGCTAATGTTAAGAGTCTTAGGTCATAATTCATTAAAAAAAATTACAAAGTGAAGACGACAATAGGTATATTTTTAAATATAATGTAAACGATAATAATTTCGCTGTAGAAGTAAAAAATTTTCAAAATTTAAGTTCAATTTGAACTGTAAATCAATATTAATGAATTTGATTTAACGAAAAATTGTGAGATACCTGTTTTATAAAGCGTTTAATTTCCGATGGAAATCTGTTGTTCTCCCCAACGCGTTGATTTTAGAATGAGGTAAAATATAAAATTCAAAAAAAATTTATTCATTCTCCAGTGAACAAGATAAGAACTAATAAATACTATGACACAAATTGAAAGAAATTAAAAATAAAAACAGTGAACAACGATCAGATTCCAAAGTGTTTAATTGACTAACTAATAGACAAAGAAGTTAATCCATGCGGATTTATAACAGTGAGATGAACAATCTTGAATAAAACTTCGGAAAATCTGATTGAAACTAAGTTCGAAACGTGAAACAGAAATGTATAACAGAACGTAACAATGATTACAAGAAGCTATTCTATACAAGATTTTATATATATATATATATATATATATATATATATATATATCTATTAGTCATTGTCTCAGTGAGGCGTCAGTTTGCTAGAGTTGTTTTGCAAACTGAATTTCACCATTGTCGAGAAGTTGCCAAGAGTACTGAGTTAAAGAAAAGGCGACATTAGATTAAAGGAACACATTTATAAATAAGCATACATGCATGCATTAGTGCAAAGTGCATGGTGTAGTTTGATAAGGTAGCATGAAGCACTACTACATTAACATGATAGTGTCGCAAGAAATCGTAAGTTGTAAGTTGTAAGGGAAAATGGATGATGTATTATTATATATATATCTCTCTCTAGATTGGAGCGTATCTCAACCGATCAATCTAATTATTCTATACAAGTACTCGCGCACAATAGCTTGAGATCTATACTTGTACAATAAATTGTCACGTCACTTGAAACTGACTCTTTGAGCAGCTCGTCATTGATATAACTGCAGAGAGTATCGAGTATTGAGTATCTAGTATTGAGTTCCAAGGTGTCGTATAACGAGGAAGAAAATAATTCGACGGTAAGCGAGTCGATAAAAATCGATAACAAATCTCACGGGGTGGAGGTATGCTTGGAAGTTCTCACGAGGGAGCTTCTGAAAGATACACAACGTCGCTTTTCAACGATATGTTACTGATACAAACGAGCCAAACCCTCAGTCCTCGTTTTAACACGACGGTTAAAAGAACTGAGGGATATGTATATAGTAATTTTTCGCGAATAGAACGAATGAACGAACGAATGACTATATCCATCCGGGGAGTCGGCTCAACTAATCTGGCAACCCTGTCCTCCGTGAGGAGTTTCATTTCCTTTGGGAGCCATTTTACAACGGCTGTCATTTTCATTTCCAATGACCCTCTGGAGATGTTTACTCCGATGTTTGTCCGATGTTTTATTTTTAGATGCCCATTGTCCTATATTATATTGTTTTGATATTCATTATTTTCTTGTTACCTTTATTTGGGAATAAGCTATGAAACTGAAACATACTCCTGCTGTTGAATATATATGAATTGGAAATCTAAACTGTACATATCTTTAATTCTTATTATTATTCATTTAAAAAAAAAAACACATTTTTTACGATGTAAATATATGTGGGAAAAATTCATTGTTGTTCCAGAGTTTGTAATCTTAATGTTTTAAAAGGATTATTTTCGTTGATACTTTCTTACACAAATAAAAAAAATTAACTTGAATCACATAAACAATTTTGAAGAACTTCATCTTCTTGATTTCAGTACAAAAACTTTTAAACTAAGAAATTTTTCGACAATTTGGTTCAACAATTTTTCTCTTGATTCAAGTTGATTTTTTTTTTCAGTGTAATAGTGATTCATCATAAAATTAATGTTTGTGATTTTAAAATTTGTTATAGAAAATGGGAACAGTTCACGGAGAAGAACTGCCTTATATTTTCGGAGCTCCGTTAGTTGATGGATTTGGATATTTTCGCAGATCTAATTACACCAAATCAGATATGATAATGTCTGAAAGTCTGATCCAAGCGTTCGCCAACTTTGTGAAGTCTGGGTGAGTTTATTTACTAATTAATTTTATAATTGACATATATTTCAGAAGCTTAACTATCTAAATATCTGAAAGTAATTTTATAATAGACAGCTCTGTTGTTCTATTATATAAGAGATAAATTCATTTATAATGAAGATTTGAGATAAATCTCTGCATATCGGAGCGCGTACAATGCTAAAAACTGAATCGACGTCGAATAAAAAAAAATCTGCATGAAAGTTCCATAAGAAAAAATATTCAAACTGTTCGCACAAACGATGGACTATTTTCCATATTCATGAATTCTGTACCAGCTTAACGCGCATGAGTTCTCGAATTATATTTATCACAAAAAAACATTTGAAACTATCCAGTGCTCAGCAATCCGGCGAGGTTTATTGTTAAAAATACTGTTACTTTATTTAAATAATACATATTGTTTGCTTTTTATAAAAATAATTCTCTAGGCGGTGAAATTGCGACGTTGATTGATTAAATTCAAGCGCAAATGCTTTATAGTCTCTAGAAACCCCAGTTCTCAGCTCTGGAATATAATTTATATTTTTTGATAAAAGAAACTTTATATTGAAATGAAATTTATTAAGAAAATATTTTGACATTTTTATTAGCTGCTGAATCAACATCTTCCATTGATTTGGAAAATTAAATATTAAAAACTCTTTCTAAGCTACTCTCTAAATCTGAAACAGTGAAAATCACTGGAAATTAGTGGTATATTCACTATTTCACAGTTATAAGTATACCACTTGGTATACTTATAGCTGTGAAACAGTGAAATTCCACTGATTCATTTTAAGAGAGTAAAATTAATTTAGTTTGCGTTTCTCAGTAATAAAAATCACTTGTCGCTTTGAAAACCCGTTCAAATACACTCTCATGCTATCACAAGCTTGTGCAAATTATTATATCCTGCTGAATAAATGTTGTTTCATAGTTAATTCGATCTCCAGTATTTATTTAAATATTTATACAGTCTATTTGCTTTTATTTGTCAATAGACGGTTTATAATTTTCATGAAAAACAAATGAGTATATTTTTTAAATTCAGTTGGATAAAAAGTTTTCGCTTCATTCTGAATTAAATAATATAATTTTTCATTTTCTCTACAAATAGACTTCTCAAAAGTGTAAAAAAGATCATTTTTATTTTACAACTTAATACCTCAAACTTAACTCTCTTGTAAGGAGACGATTCAGCAATCATGCGTACTCTGTCGGAAGATTTTAATACTACATATGGTCAAAAAGCATATATGATCGTATCGACTCAAATCAGAACATACCAAGCCATAAATGGTCTTATCAAAAGTTTTTTCCATGGATATCCAACAAGGCTCCAACCATTACATTCAATCTGAATCCAAACGTGTAACTAAAAAAGCATCCAAATAATGGTATCGAAATAATTACAATAATTGAACCCCTAAACCGGAGCCATTGTACTGGTACCGTTCGGAAAGTAGCAATCATAACTCTCGTCAGGTCGTTATTGTTCTCGAAACAACCTAGATCATCGGACACACAGGCGAGGAGGATACATATCTCTTATCAGCGCCGCCGCAGTGTCTTTATCTGGGCGTAAACACAAACGTGCTTACTGGGGGTTATCTAAGTGCAGCAATCGCCAGCAATTGACTTTTTGCCCTGGAAACGTGTATCGAGCATTACAGGTGGGCGTGTCTAAACAACCACAAAAGCAATTTTCTGTGCCCAGACAATGAGTCTTCGCAGTGGATACGAATAATACCTTCGCCCCCTCTTCTTCACCTGGCAGAGCAAAGGCCAGCAACGACCTCTAACAATCCCGGCAGAAAGTATAATTATTGCCACGAGATCACTAATAACGCTAACACATATACATAACCTAACAACGCACTTTATACATAACAACAAAGCTTACGCTTCAACTTGAACGTTTAGTTAGAAAGTTGGTATATAACTAGCTATCGTGGAAAGTTATTGGTGACATATGCGCGACCCTCGACCTTATACTGTGCCTAGACTCGCAAACGAACTACACAACTACCCTACCAGGAATAGAGGAATAGAACGAACGAACAGTTACCGCTTCCTCATTCCATGAATATGCAAAAGGCACCAGACGATATTTCAGTTACTACAACAGTCGTTCGCTCCGGGCGATATTCCGTTCTTCGGGTGAAATTTGCTTCGTCGATACACCCAAATTATACGGAGTTCGTATAGCTATACTCTCGAACTCCGATACACTATCAAATCATGTTTATGAGGAAGATGTAATGGTATTGGATGATACTGCTGCTACCACGTGATGTTTTGTCACATTGATGACGAAAGCATAACAGAAGAGGAAATGAGGAACAGGATGCCTTCAAGAATATCTTACTCTCTCGCTTGGCAAACTACCCGAGTCCAAGACACCGCGGACAGTTGCTGGGGATTAGAGAACTCAACCCCCAGACATCTCGGGGGATCAGTCTCTAAGATCCTCCGTCGTCACGTACTGATCGCTTCTGAGGTGATAGCCGACAACTTTATCTTATTCTGGACATTCTTTGCACTTATTCCGTTGACTTGATTATATTCTTCCGTGGAAAAATTTTCTATGGCCAATTTTTATACTAGGGTGTGTATGAAAATAAAAATAGTAATTTATTATAGTTTTTAAATTTTATCTGGAAATTTGTACGTCAATTGACTTGTCCTGTCACACAATAATTAGAGTTGATAAGCTTCTAAGCAAAGGAAAAGGACGATTATTATTTTAGAACGTGACATAGAAACAGGCCATAGAAATATTAGGCCAAATCAGAAAATTTTTCGCGGATTGGTTTGAATTCAGATGTAAAGAATATTTTCCTAAAATAAAAGAAAAAGATAAGATACCTATACGAGTTTTTAATTTCCTAAAGCAAATACGAAAATTTGTCGAGTAGATGGATAATGTCAACATTAAATGACAAGAGCAAAGAGACTAAACTACCTGACTGGAGATCAAAAAAGAAAAGATAAAAACAGGGAAAATGTGACAGTTTTTCCTCTTTCTATTCCGTTGAATTTTTAAAAATTACCCGTGTGTCGACGGACAAATACGAATTTTATTGATTCGATGATGGAACTCGCTAAATGTCAATATCGTTAACGACGTTACTTTTTTTCAATATTTTTCGATCATTGGAAGTATAGATATATATATTTTCACATTGCAATTTCTATATCTGTGTAATAAATGTATGGAGTATAAACGAGAGAAAGATGAGAGTCGTGAAAAACTGATTTTTAATGTTTACCGCCCGAAATATCATTTCATTTATTAAACTGAATGAAAAAAAAATAATTCCGACAGATTCATATTTTTTTTTTTTGATAAAAAATTTTTTCATTATTATTGCATTACTGTAATGGTAATATGAACGAAAATATATGTAGAATATATTTTTTAAAAGTAGAGAGACGTAATATTTTTTGTAATAATTATTTTGCACTTATTGGATTCGTTTACATCGTGAATAAAGCGGCATGAAAATGTTGAAAAATGTACAATGCGTTACAATGCTATTGAGTCTCACTTTTGTGCAATTTTTATTTTTTATTATCATCATTATTATTGTTGTTTTTTTTTTTGGCAGGCACACCCACGTATTTTAATAACGTCGCTTTTTTTATCTACATGCTCACAGAGAGAATATTCGAGTTACGAGCGTTGCAAACAGTAACTAAAATTCATTTTATTCTTGGAATATTCTCATTAGTACCGACAAAGAGACGGCAACTTTGTCGCTGCTTTACGTAAGCCATCCTTTTTCACTCATGTCTAGCGTAGTCAAACTTTTGTTGTCGGACGTTTCTCATATCGCGAACGCCTTTTACATTCCTACTTTTATTTTTTTTTATTTCTGTATATGTACTTGATGTTACGCGACCCGCGGTATCAATAGACATTCGTTATGATATCACGTGTGATATGATTTTTTTGTAACAAGGTTCATGAAAATTTACTGTCAAAGGCAAATTCCGCTGAAACTACGGCAGGTCACATTACAATTGGGATTTTCGCCCGGGCACAACTGCCGGTATAAGTAAATTAATACAGAAAAATAAATTTGAATAGCGGAAATCCATTTTTCACATTCCCAGTGGAAATAACAACTGTCTTATAAAAAAATTTTTAGTTTATTTTTATTCCAAACAATATATAAATTCTTTAACTAAATTTTTCCCTCAGGGGAAATGTAGTTTTCTGGTAATCGGTTTTTCATATATTAGCATTTTTTAACTTTTTAAGCTTGAATATAAATTGTTTGCTTTTTTTTCATGGCAAAATTTTTCAACATTGTTACTGAAAAAAAAAGCAATTATTTTTGTCATCTATCGTTTGATTTAATTCAAACGAAATTATTTCCAATTTTATTTTTACGCTGATACAAAAATTTATTTGGTTCTAGAGAAAAATTTTGACGCAAGAAAATTATTTCTGACAATTTATTTGTCGTAAATATCAAGTAGAAAACTTTTGGTAACTATTTAGTTTGATTATCACTTGATTTTTTTTAAACGAAAAATTGAAGAAGTAACATTTTGAAATTTAGAAAATTATTTTTCTCTAATTGTCAATTTTTTTAATTTTTTATCTTTTCTACAAAAAAATATATAGTTCTAGAAAAATTGACGTTTTTTAAAAATGTTTTTTATCGAAAAATTGTATGTAAGGCATAAAGTTAAAGTGAACGATTACCCAAAATTTGAACAAAGAAATATTTCTTGGTTTAAGCAAATTTTACTTAATTCAAAAATTATTTTGTTTGATTCAAAATAGTAAAATACTTAAAATCAATTTTTTTTTCATTAAAAGTTTTTTTTCTAATCAAATTATTTCTTTCCTCAGGTCATAAGCTTCAGACCAAATTTATAATCATGAACTTCAATACAAAATTGAATCACCACATATAAAAACGAAATCCCCAAATTTTTCGCCAATTAAAATCACATTTACCCGCGATTAATTGTCTTGTACATTCGAA